GCACGTCAACGCTGGTATTCTGGCTTTAAACGCCTTGTTGACGTGTGTGCAGATACCAGCTTATGGCAAGTCTACACAGTAAGAGATTGTGATCTATTTTAAGACACTATCTCGGAATTTTTCTGGATGGAGAAAGGGAATCGACTTAAATTTCCCAGCCCTTGTTGTGGGTCCTCGACTGTGAATCGACTGTGTCGATGTATCGATTAGGAAACTTGTACAACGACTTTCAGAAACTATCCTGAAATACTTTTGGTTTTAGTAAACAAAATGTGTCAGGTTAGCCCAGCGGTAACACGAACCTAATTACAAATAAGCTATTTTAAGTTGTTTTTTTTGGTAATTCCGGTCACTAGAACCGACTAGGACAGGATACAGATAACAGGATGATAAATATAAAAGATAAAGAAACGAGCATAAAATCGTTCTTAGTCATTCGATGTACTGAAATTATTCTAGTACATTTCTGAAGACTAAAAAACTGGCAATAAACAAAAGAGAGGCGTGTCCTCCACATAAACGACGAGGGTTCGGACACTGCCGTGTCTGTATCACAGCAGAAAGACGATTGCCAATCAGAGATATTTGTCACTCTGCAGTTTGCAAGACTGTCTGCAATAAATAAACAAAACACAATCATTCCCTTCATCGGACTGGCACGTGCGTCACGCGAAGCCGTCAGTCATTTACCGGTTGGCATGACTACAGAATTATAATACGCCAGGGCCGTCCAGTCTTCATATTTCAGTTTGTGTCAACGAAAAAGAAGTAATTTAAACATTAAGGTAAAACATAAAGACTTCGGGGAGAATGGAGGTCTTGTTCCACTGTTCCCTATTTCTGAATTAGACTTAGATGTTTAGATAGCTTCACGCGCCGGCCGCTTCAACCTCGAGGAAAGGACACCTGTGACAATTTTATACGAGGCAGGGATGACCCCCCCACCCCCAGCTCAGTTTCATGATAATTTGTTCATCATTCCAAACTGTATCACCAGCAGATGGAAAATAAAACATGGCTGGCACTACAATGTTGCTGATGGTTCTCTCTCTTATCTGGTTGCAGTGGTGATATATGTACTCACCAGGTGATCTCAATGAAAATGCTGAGCATCATCAGAAGCAGAAGGGTTGCACCGACGTGTCCACACGGTGGCCACAGAGATGACGTGGCCAAAGTGGCCATGATAGAGTGGCCACTAGGCCGGAGGACTGGAGCCCTGCAGATCTCTGGAAGAGAAAGAGAAATATGACAATAAAGTCTCACAACTTGTCCGCAAGACTGACAGCTGTTGAGCTGTGCCTTTGGCCATCGAAGAACTCAAGAAACCAATCACACTAATAGTAACATATCGCTGTCACAACCCTTAATAATTGAAGAAAGAAATAGCGGATTTGTTAATTTTAATTGTATTATTATTATAATAATCATAATCACCGTCATCATCAGTACTATAATTTTAGATCGTAAATTTAATCATGTTAAGGCCGCTTTTAAATCCGAAATACACCCAATGAATACGTCCTCACAATTTATTTGGATTAAAATTACGAACCCGTGTAATAGAAATAGCATCTTTAAATGAACTTGGGACTATCGGAAAGGAAAGCATTGTCAGCGACTTTAAATATAGATCATTCTGTGACGTCACAATATTCTATTCTTAGTTCGTTCCCGAAAGAAAGTAGGAGAGAGTACATTATATTTCGATAAATTTCGCCATCTTTTGCTTAGTGAGAGTAATAATGACACCTGGTGATGCGGCTAAAAGACTGCAAAGAGCTACAATTGCCCTGAAATACTGCCAGTGTTTGGCCTTTCGAAGCGTAAGATACCTTAAACACTTAAGAATCCAGTCCGTACCGCGAAGAAAACACTTCACTTCACCATTACAAAGATCAACTGGTTAACTCTTTGAAGCCTGAGCTCGTCTAAATAATATTTAATGATTCAGTCCGTACCGCGAAGAAAACACTTCACTTCACCATTACAAAGATCAACTGGTTAACTCTTTGAAGCCTGAGCTCGTCTAAATAATATTTAATGATTCAGTCCGTACCGCGAAGAAAACACTACACTTCACCATTACAAAGATCAACTGGTTAAC